GTCACACTCACATGTGTTCTTGAGAGAGAGAGGGGGTCTCTCCTTGATCCATGGACTCGTTGGCTCCCATTCTCACCTAGCTCTGCCCCCCCTGCCTGCTCCTGTTTTCCAGCCACCCTCCACATCCACCCTCCTCCCCCCTTCCCTCCAAAACAACCTCTCCTGTCGCTGTTGTTGCCGAGGAGGCAGGCAGCCTGCGTCCGTGGAGGTGAGCGGGCGGCTGAGCGTTGCTGTGCTGCAGTGCAGAGGATGAGCCGCTCGCATCAGGAGCAAAGCAGCGGATGATTAAAGGCTCCTCACTGTCTGCACAGCATCCCTGAGCCGGTGCTGCTTCCCGGAATATTCCTCATTTGGTGGTAAAATGATGCAACACCAGAAGGAATACAATTCCTAAGAGCAAAAATGCCAAAAAGAGAATAATCCAAAACAAAAAGGATGAAATAACAATCCTGCTTTCTTGCCGTCTTGCATGAGGTACCTCCTCTGTGTTTTGCTTCCAATATTGCTGAGCTGTGCTGCTGCTCTCACTGCCTCCTCCCCCCTCCACTCTCTCCCCTGACTCCAGCCTCCTGTGCCTTTAAAAAGACAAGCAGCTTTTTTCTCATCCGCTACCACGAGCCAAACAATAGCAGACCCCCCAAAAACCCCACTGACGAACAGGGGCTTTCTCTTTCACGTTGTCGGCCCCCTTCTGACACCCTCCTATGGCAACAGTACATGGCGAGCCTGCTTGTCTTCCCCCATCTCTCACCCAGTGACTTGCACAGTGAAAATGTCATGTGTGTGCCTCCTTTTCACACAATGGAAGCTTCCAGCACTCGGCGTGGCCAACCAGAGTGAAGCCTGAGGTAAACAATAGACTCTGAGAAACGAGTATTGGTGTGTACTATTCAAATCTGACCCTATTATGTTCTCTTTCATTCAAGTCTTTCTACCAGCCTACATTCACAAAACAGACAATATTAGACCAAAATAACTCCAACTTTAAAATCCTATATTACATGTTAAAGGACAATTATGATAACACATCAACATGTTAGACATAAGCACACATTTGAGCATAAAAGCTTAATTCAGAGGTGTCATTCGTGGCATTTAAGAGACAAGAATATATGCTACATTTCTAAATGAATTCAGTCTCTGGGATTAAATCCCTGGACAGCATGCATGGTTGGTGATCTAATTTACTGGCACTCTCATCAAACCATGAATTGTATCAAAGACCAGAAGAGCAATAATGATATGCTGTCTAGACATGTTGTGCAATTTTTCCTTTCATTTAGACATCTGTGTGTGTGGGACAGGGGCGTCCTGTGGGATGGAAATAAGAGCAGGTTCTTCAAATGTCCCATCCTAAGTCAAGGAACGATGGGAAAGAGAGGCATTGGAAATATGAGAAGAATTAATCCATTGTACACTCATGGGAAAGTGAGGGAATGAGGGCTCGCCACAATAGCAGATCCAGCCTGGAGCAATTGAAGTCGCACAAACTTGCTGTACACAGGTTTCAGGTGAAGTGTCTCTGCCTGTGGCCTAAAGACACAGAATCTCCACTTCCACTGTAACATGTAGAACACTAAACCCACTGATCATGCCTAGACTAACAACTCGTTTAAAAAGGGGCAGTGTTTTCATGTAAACATGGAGTCCATTAACTTGTGTTCACAAAGAATATCGATGTGTTCTAGTCTCGGATGGGCCTGTTGGTCGATGTTTTACAGCCCAAGGGGACAAGTAAATAGCTGCCCACTCACAACGCCCAACATACACCCCTAAAAATATTGATTTCTTCTGCCATCCCCACCCCCATACCAACCCAAAGATGTATCTAGGGCAGCAAAGAATGTAAGTGTGAAGTACAAATTCCTACCCTATTGTATGGCTGACAATAACATCCTCTCTGTGTCGCTACTTTAAGAGTCTGGCCTTGCACTGTTGTTCCAACTGCAGACTGAAGAAAAGGAAGAAATAAAAAATTCAACGAACTCAGGCACTGGAAGAGATGGCTGTGGCAGTTCTTTCTGAAAGATTCATAACAGCGCTCCAAAGGAATCAGAATCACTAGATTTAAAATATGTGTAGCCTGCAAGGGGGATTGAATATAACAGTGCATACTACTGAGCAGAATGTGATGGGGCAGAACCATTTGTGGTGTAATGGGTGTGGATTGAAGCTTAGTGGAAAGATTGGCAATACATTCTTTAGTAAAGCATTTCCGTAGACAAAATAATATAACCTCAATATTCAGTACTGTTAAAGTAAAACTTGAGTGGTGATAGTCGAGACATTTAAATGATGAGTCTGAATCACTGGTAAAGTCTCAAATTAAACTAGGAAAACAGACAGTATGCCCCTTAATTCGACACTGCTAAACTCAAATATCCGAGATCATTTAAACAACAAAAGCAAGACAAATATTGCACGCTACTGCAATCACAAGATCTATCCACAGGTCTTTGTGGGTGGTTAACAAAGCTCTGCAAGTTGCATACTGTTTAAAGACATGTTTTGAGTAATCCTGGTTATTTCTATAGTTATCTGTATTATAGATATTTGTATTATAGATATCTATGACAACACCCTGGGCCGTGATCAGTTCTGAATATCTGATGATCAGGCAGAGTAAGAGCCTGGAGCGTTGTTCCTTGTTTGCCAAGAAAAGGCTGCATCGCTCCCATAAGCAATCCCATCTGTTGTAATTTATTGTCTTTTATTGTGATTGTAGAAATGTGTTTTTTTTATGTGATTGTAGTTATTACATGTACAGCACTTTGGCCCGACCAAAAATCGTTTTTAAATGTGCTTTATAAATAAACTTTGATTTGATTTGAGAGGGGATGAATTCCCAGAGGCTGTTTCTCAAAAACATTCACTCTTAAACGTTATCTGTGTGCATTCAAAGTACATCCTAATAATACATTTTTAAATCATGTGATATTGTTTCTCTTTGTATCTACAAAGCCGATGATAATAGCTATCAATGGAGGAATCAGGGAACTTACATTGGAAACCTTATGATACCCATCAACAAATTATCTTAATCACTGACATGTGTTGTAGATGAGATAATAGTGAGAACATGTTTGTCACAAGCACAAGTGAAGAGAGTTAGTTTGTTAAATATTTAAAATGCATTGGTTTATATGGCCTTCTCTGTACTGTCAAATATAAGACAGAGATTGCTGTATAAATAATCACAATTAAGGATATGGGTTGAGCTGATTTGGTGAATCTAGCCAAAAAAGATCTGATGTGCTCCTCAATTGTTAGCTTTGTTCATGACTGAAAGCATGAGTTCAAAATGTGTGGGAGTTACTAATAGATGAATAATTAAGAATAATTATCAACATCAGAGGAGAACCTTGAGTTGTTTTTTATCTCATAAAAGTGATTTAATTTACTCATGCAACTCTTAATGAATCACTCATTCAAGGACGTAGGCTGGCAAGCATTTGCCCAGCTGAAGTGCCCTTGAGGAAGATTATCTAATACCATGAATCATCGAGGAGCTCCACGGGAAATGCATTACGTTATTAATGGTAAAAATGTGATGTTATACTGCTCTTTGTTTTGCATGTAGCTTTGTTCTAAAACAAATAAACAAGAGTGAAACCTTACTTAACACCTGCACATGTTCTGGCATAGCTGGTCCTGTGTGTCTGCAGGCAACAAGAGTAATGTGTGAAATCCAGTCAGAAAGCTCCCCCCCATCCCCCCCCCCCCCCCCTTTAACCGCTACCTTACAGTCCTCTCTGATATCATAAATAATATAACAAAAATGTGCTAGCCTTGCCTTCTCAAAATGCTGGTGTTCTCTTAGAAACAGAGGCAAATAGAAAGCCAAAGCGTATCAAGTCAAAAGCAAAATATGTATAATCTACACAGAAACCAAACAGTTGTTTCCATCCAACACTGATGCTAAGGGAGATACATGAGAGCAGGTGTGTGTCCCTGTGTTGCTTTCTTATACCTGCAGCATTCATACAGCAGGGTGCAGACACAGGCTGGCCGTACAACATGAACACTGCACTCTGAAGGGAGAACACCCTCTGCTGGTTGTAACTGACAGTGCAAGCACTGTCAAAGTGGCTGAGTCATTCCCTCTTTAAAAGTAGGTATTTGAGATAAATCGCAAAGCCTGGTGTGATTTTCGCGGAATGTTGATTATTATGAGAAGGGAAGCTGTGTGGATAGCAAAATAATAAGAACATTTAAATGTCATCAGCATCAGTGTTATGAGTCACTAGTGTAATACACAAGCAGCTTAAATGGCAATAAATCTTCCATAAAATGTGTGGTTGTGGGTGCGCTATACTTAATGCTGTAATGTTAAAAACATCTACATGTAAACATTTCAGCCTGATGCTTTTGCTATACCAATAACGCGCCACAATTATACATGTGAGTTTTCAACCACTGAGTTCATACATAGAAAATGTCCTGAAGTAGACATGAATGGCAATGCTCTGTCTGATTATATCCACCTTCCAGCTACCTTAAACTCACTTAAATGTAAATCATGTTTGTATCATCCACACAGAAAAGTGTCCAAATGCTAAACTAAGCTAACCACCTGTAAGCCCTAGCATTTCCCATGTAGAATTTGAGAATGATATCAACCATCTCTGCAAAAAATAAACATAAGCTCCTAGAATGTCAAACTATCTCTTTAAGAAACAAAAAAAAGGGAACCTGATGGGTGATTGCATTTCCAGTAAACTCTCTCTCTGTTCTGAAGCCCTGAGAACATCAAAAAGGTTATTCAGTGTGCCAGATGTCCATTTAATGCTGTAATTTGACCTGAATTGGGCTTGAAAGGATAAGGACATGGCTACTTTTCGTCAAACAGGCTAAAGGGACTATAATGAACACGGGACAAATCTTATGTGAGGCATTACAAACAAAGCAGAGCAGGGTCATAAAAGAAACACATTGGACACACATTTTTAAGCACAGAAAAGTGCAGTCAGCTGACAGTCAAGCAGAGTTCATGTTCATACCTTAAAGGAGGGTGGCAGGGTTCAGAGGCAGGGCAAGGGTCCTCACTCTGGGAAACAGGAGCTACAGGAGGGGAGGCAAGGGCTGGAGGAGGAGGGGGAGGAAAACAGGGAGAAGCAGGTGGGGTTCCTTCAGGTGAGTGTCTCTCCGGGGGTGTGGCAGGAGGAGTGGGGAACTCTGTGGTGTCTTGGAGGTGACGAGGGAGGGCGGGCAGGAAGTGGTTTTCGGATGCAGGAGGTTGGGGAGACGCAGGGGCACGGTCACCTCTCTCTGCCTGCTCAGTGAGGGAGGACCTGCAGGGGAACGCAAAACATCAACAGAGAGGCCGAAACAAGAGGGCCAAGTATGGAGATTTGGAAAGCCCGCTGACAACACACTACATATCCCTCTAGAGGAATTAACCAAGGCAGACAGTAGAGAAACATGTAGCACTATGCACCTAAAGCTAGTAGTAATGTGTTGGAAACTTCATAAGCAATGGAGACAAAACTCAGAGAGACACATGGAGAGCTGGAACTTTGATGGCAAACACTGATGGTTTATTTGGAGTAACGGCCGGAGAACTGACAAGACATGTGCTGCTGCCACCAGGTGACACAGCGGTTGCCAAACCAATTCTGAAGATCTCTACCCCAGACCCATGTATTTAGCTAGTTCTGAGAGAATAATCAACATTGTTCATAACAAGATAAAGCACTATAACACCTCTATCAGCTGACGCCAACAGGCAGGAATAGGGAGACAAAAGGCTGAGAACACAGCAGCCCAAGGTTGAAGGTGCTCAGTGAGGGCAGTGCAAACTGATCAACTGGGTCAAAGGTATGGGCCTAGGAAAATATTTCCCCAACAAGTATCTTCAAAGATAAAAAGCTCTCCACAAACATCCTAAGAACACTTTGTCGTTTAAATGACATGTAACCCCTGTCATTAGTCCCTTTACATGGAAATCCATGTTTCCCTTGCTTGCTGTACGTGCCCTGCAGTGAAGTAGCCTGCATGGAGATGTCTGCCTCTGTCATCATCGGCCACCTGGTGGAGTGGATTTGGCCCGGATCCAGGCTGGTCTTATCAGGAGTGGTAGGCTCTCTAATCTGACAGGCAATGCGATGGACGCCCATGCAGCTGTTCCCCACTTGGGGCATGCCTCCTGTTTAGCTCTAAAAATACCCCAGTAGCCTCTTCTGCAGAGCTTCACAAAACCTCCATCAACTAAAACACATTTACAGGAGTGAGGCATCAGGTCGGCTGCTGCCGCTGAGCTGCAATTTTCCAAACGTCTCTCCAGCTCATTTCACACTGAAATTGAGCTCTGTTATCCTCCATCTCTCTCTCCAGTAAAGTCAGAACTTAATAACATTTAATGAGCGTGTGTGCTTTTCTTAAGGGCGTAGCAAGGTAAAGTTTACATCTTACACAAGTCTGTTTCCCATCATCCCAACTTAAAACTACATCATTTTCTAAACGCTGCAGGATGGTTGCATGAAAAGAAAACGTCCTACAAATCCATACATGAATTTTTATTTGGTCCCATTCCTCTCATTACGAATCCGCAGTCGGTGACTTACGCCAGCAGGCCAAAGCTATACATATGTCAGCATCTGTGGCCAACTTGGCACATGCACCCTGGAAATAGAAATAACCAAGTCACAACACAGTCTGAGCAAACCGTCATAAGACTCGCTGCTGCCTCCAAAGATGGACACGAACTGCTATGGAGCACATAGAAAGATAAATCAAGCGCATAGGGGAAGAGACAATTGGCAGAAAATAAGATTATCCTGGACACAAGTGTATAGTATTTACTGGTTCAGTGGGTTGTATGTGGGGATAATGACAGCTGATCCACTGAGGTTAACAGCAGAAGCTTTCCAACTTATATTCTTCCTGAAACAGTGTGTGAGGGGGAGCACATGTGCAGTTTTCAGCAACACACTTTTTCACATCAGTGCAGTTTTGTTGGCATAAACACCAGAAAGCTGTCCAATACAGGGTTTTGTACTGTTGGTGAGTCAGATTTATGAGCAGTTCTTCAGAAGGTCAGTCCAGCGATACATAGACGTCATTTTCTGTCACAGTCCAGATAACAAACCTGGTTCTCTAACCTCATCTTTCATGACCATATTGAGTAAACAAAAGGGACTTTGATTGTACTGTATTGAACACACACCAGTTAGTGAAATCTACGGGAAACAGCTGGACCTAAGAGACAATAAGTCCAGGGCCAGGCAGGGTGTTTAATGGTAAACAGAGTATAAACAGAGCTGTAAATAAAACCAGCTTTTTCTAGCGCTGCAACAATGAGGACCATTTCTGTCATGCAGCCATCTGATAACTCATACTGTCCCCTCAAACACACACACACACTGCACAATCAAGAACACATTGTATATATTAAAAACGCGTATTTCCTAAATAATAAACAAATTATCTTCTTCCACAACATAGATTGAATATTACATAAAGTCAGTTGAGTGTGGTTGAATGACAGATTTTACTACTTCACTTATGGCAGGAGAACCGCATGAGCCTACAATTGCCATGGCAACTAGTCTATTTACAGTACAGTGTGGGCCATAGCACATCCTACTTCCTTTTACTTTAAAAACATGGATGAGAAATATCCTACATACCAAGCTGAGTAGTCACAGTCATACCCAAAGTGATTCAATGGAAAAAAATGGCTTTAAAGAAGATTTTATTAGAACTAGTTGTGCAACATCTATAAAAAAAGTATTATGGGGCATTAACATGTCACACAGCAGTCTCCCTTTTCTGCAATGCCCATAATAATTGTACTCTTTAAATTAAAAGTCTATGATAACTTTTTTGAACACTCACACAGTAGTCTAACAGAGGATAAGTACTCGACACTAGCATGTCTCGCCAACAGTGAATCATCAACATGCTCTAACAGGTTACATTGTTTTTAAAGTACAGGGTACATTTCGCAACTTTTTTCCTTCTTTTCCTGCCTTCTGCCTCTTGGTCTTTCTATGTTTCTCTCCCCTCCTCTCATGTGGTGAGGTCAGCAGAGACAGAGCGTAATTAGCACTAGTTACCTACAGACCATCTGTTGCATCCACCTGGAGGGACTTACACAAGAACGCCAAAGAAAATAGGGCACCTACTTCTTGTCAACTTACCCAGAGTTCAGCCATTGAGGAATCCAACACACGCCTTCAGGGCTGTTTTAAAAGTAAGTGATGGAAAAGACTTCTCTGAACTCAGAAACAGCAGAGCCAAAGGGTGTACGTCTCAGTCCTTCTGTCCTCTGCCTGTGCTTCTGACTGACTCTGTCACACACACTCACGCCGCAGCACATGCTCCAGTGTTTCTCTTTACTCTGGCTTTTGTTCCACTCTGTCTGGTCTGTGAAAATGACTTCAGTGGGGCTGAGTGCCTGCCCGAAATTCCTCCCACTACAGGCTTCAGTTCACAAAGCCGCACAGACTGAGCAGGACTGACAGCTAGGACAGCCTCTAGGGGCGGGGAAAAACCATATGTACACACTCACACACGTACACACTCACACACACACATCATTGACCAGGCAGTCACAATTCTAACTCTGGTACCAAGTGTAACTTTATATATTGATGAAACCTATGGAAATAGCGCTGTCACTCCTCCTCCCTAGGACAAGCCTCATGTCTCCAACAGCAGTGATGGGGCAAGTGTTGTGACTGACAGGCAGCAAGTGCTACTCTGGCATGTGTGACGGCTCCTGGTCATTCCACAAACAGCAACAGAGAGTGACAATTAAGACAGATAACTAAGAAAGGCTGAAGCTCAAGTGGAAATAAATCAGCAGCAATGATTTGACTTCAATAGAGTATCCCAAAAGACATTCCTCACATAGTTAAAACAGTGGAAAAACACTTTCACAACACATCCTTGCACAATTTGTTCAGATGGTCTACCCAGAGCTTTTAAAATGCTTGAATAAATACTGAATGCCCACATGAAGGTCCACACTGGTTAAGTATGTATATTTATCCTAGTCATCAGTTTGAATAACGTTAAGGGTTTACTGAGCTTTCACACAAATCAGTGATACTGCGTCTCATTCATCCAAGCAGACACTGGTAAATCGCTGCAGACAGCAACAAGCGACCAGACGCCCTCGAGGTGTATGAAAGCCAAACAAAGCCACCGAGGGTACTCTGAAAGCGCGTGGAAATCCATTTTAATGTGTGACAGGCAGAGCTGCTGAGCTGTAAAGCACATGGCCCCCTAAGAGTCCTCCTTTTCACAAATACAGTAGGTTTGCTGCAATAAAATGCCTCGGATAAATCACTGTAATGGAAATGTTATTATACGTTTTAGGAAAGCTATCGGGTCTAAAAAGCCATTTATAAATCATTTTCATGTCTGGATTCCTGTATGACCTCAGTAAACCACAAATGACCAGTCTCCCCTTAAACATGTTGTTGTAAAGGGATTAATCCTTAGATTTCAGTCGATTGAAGATTACAAGGACATGTTTTTTAAATCCAGAGTTAGTAAAGAGAACAGTCCCTTGGCAGCAGCCTTGTAGGGAAACATTGCTCCACAAAGTAGGCTTACACTGAAAACTCTGCAGTGGGACAATGAATGGAAGTTGCTTTTGTTTGCTGTTAAAATACTTTTGGAAACACTCATCGTAATTCATTATGTGTTAATCCCATGATTAACAAAAGCACTTACCCACTGTCCTGCGGCTCCTCAGCAGGATCCTGGACGGTCTCTGTGGCTGTTGTTTCTTCAGCTGGCACTTTTATTGGCTCCTCAGGTAGGATCTCGGCCGGATCTTCCACTAGCTCCTCTGCTGGCAGCTCAGTGATCAGCTTCTCTTCTGGTTTTGGTGGCTCCGTTGCAGTCTTTGTTGGTTCTGGGTCCTCATATTTCGTTGGCTTTGGCAGCTCTTCTATGGGCTTTATTGGTTCTTCAAGTTCAGCTGGCTCCTTAGCTATTTCTGAAGTAACTGGCTCACTTTTAGGCTCAGGGAGCTCTTTTGGAGGCTCTTCCTCTTTCTTGGTTGGTTCTGAGAGCTCTACTTTCCTCGTTTCTTCTGAGAGCTCTACTTTCCTCGTTTCTTCTGAGAGCTCTACTTTCTTTGCATCTTGTTGGAGCTCTACTTTTGTACCCTGTATTGGTTCTGGGACCTCTACTTTTGTACCCTGTATTGGTTCTGGGAGCTCTACTTTTGTACCCTGTATTGGTTCTGGGAGCTCTACTGGCTTCTTGAAAGGTTCGGGAAGATCCACTGGCTTCTTGAAAGGTTCGGGAAGATCCACTGGCTTCTTTAAAGGTTCGGGAAGATCCACTGGCTTCTTTAAAGGTTCAGGAAGATCCACTGGCTTCTTGAAAGGTTCAGGAAGATCCACTGGCTTCTTTAAAGGTTCAGGACGATCCACTGGCTTCTTTAAAGGTTCAGGAAGATCCACTGGCTTCTTTAAAGGTTCAGGAAGATCCACTGGCTTCTTGAAAGGTTCAGGAAGATCCACTAGCTTCTTTAAAGGTTCAGGAAGATCCACTGGCTTCTTTAAAGGTGCAGGAAGATCCACTGGCTTCTTGAAAGGTTCAGGAAGATCCACTGGCTTCTTTAAAGGTTCAGGACGATCCACTGGCTTCTTTAAAGGTTCAGGAAGATCCACTGGCTTCTTTAAAGGTTCAGGAAGATCCACTGGCTTCTTTAAAGGTTCAGGAAGATCCACTGGCTTCTTTAAAGGTGCAGGAAGATCCACTGGCTTCTTTAAAGGTTCAGGAAGATCCACTGGCTTCTTGAAAGGTTCAGGAAGATCCACTGGCTTCTTTAAAGGTTCAGGAAGATCCACTGGCTTCTTTAAAGGTGCAGGAAGATCCACTGGCTTCTTTAAATGTGCAGGAAGATCCACTGGCTTCTTGAAAGGTTCAGGAAGATCCACTGGCTTCTTGAAAGGTTCAGGAAGATCCACTAGCTTCTTGAAAGGTTCAGGAAGATCCACTGGCTTCTTTAAAGGTTCAGGAAGATCCACTGGCTTCTTCTCAAGGTTCAGAGGGGGGATCTCAGTTGTCTTCTCCACAGCTTGAGCCGGTGGTGGGATCTCGTCCTCTTTCGGAGGAGCAGCTATCTCTTCAGCTGGTGTTAGAAACTCTAGTTGTGGAGACTCCAGAGATGAGAAGGGTCTGGAAAAACAACACAAGAGAAGAGGGGGTTGGGGATTTGTTGTTAGTTTACAGCACATGCACAATAAATGACTGACAATTGACAAATGTGTGTGTCTGTGTGGTTATACAGGGGGTTGTATCCGTCTAGAAGTGTGTGTGTTTTTTTGTGTGCGTGTTCGCAGAAGAACTGTAGGTACATGTGTGTGTTTGTGTTGCTGCATTGTGTTTAGCAGTGTGAGAAAAGGCTCATTCTTGCTCTGGAGAGCACGAACGATGTCCCAGCTGATGTCATCCTTTGAATATAAAGGGCTGCATTTCTTCCATTAGACTTCCACAGGCACAGTCATCTGACCCGGGCCTCGAGTCAAAACAGAAAGCAGCTCTGTGTTTACCACCTCATTCATATTCATTGTCAAGCTGCTCTCTGTAATATCACTCTAAACAAGCCCTGGACATGGTGTTAATGGAATGCTAAGTTAAAGAAAGAAACTGATGCAATATATGATTTCTAAACAACTGGACGTCAAATAATTATTACCCATGGGAATGTCAAAATAAATCTGTATTTTTTTAGTTGTGGTTGGTGACTTCACATGTGCTTTTCTCTTTGTGATGTAAGATGATACGTGTGACGGCATGCTAACATGCTTCTTTTTCCATGTTGACCCCCACTGACCTCTCAGACATGTGTAGTTCTCAGTATTCATTTCCCATTAACATAGTTGTATCAGTATAGTCTTGTGTACACTCTTCTAACCTCCAAATCTTACGGCATTTTTTCTCATATGATATTTTGAAACACACACATGCTCTTGTATTTACCTTAAGGTCTCTTGTTTACTCTGAGTATGGGATGCAGCTTCTTTTAGAGCTTGTATCCAGTTTGTTTCTGGTTGTCTCTCTGAAACCTCTGCAGCCTCTGCGCTCGAACACACAAGTTCAACAAGTGTTTCTCCTTCACAGTGGGGAGCAGCAACAATGGGGTTTACCGCAGTATGATCTCCGGGCTTTGACACCTGATCACGAGGCTTCTCTGACTGGGTGACTGTTGATGCTTCCGGGCTCTTTGACGAAACAACAGATGAAGCTGTGATATCTCCAGGAGTATTTGTATCTGTTATACCCTTTTCTGTTGTCTTAGAAACACCGATTGAGCCACTGCCTTTAGCAATTCCAGTTTGATTTATGACCTCGTGTTCTTTCACTGCCTCATTGTTCCTCGCTTTGATCTCACTTTGTCCCTTTCCCTGGCTGTTAACTTTCTCTTCGTCCAAAGCTGCTTCATCTTCCTTTGTGATCTCCTCTACATCAGGGCCTGTTTGTACTACCGAGCTGCTTTGTATGGCTGATGTTTTTATGGAACTCTGTAGCTCGAGAGGCTTGCACACAGTATCCTGAATTTCACACTCCTCCGTTTCACTACTGTGGATTTTTACAGCCAGGACAGGGCTAAAATCATTTCCCACACTTTCTGGTTGCACAACCATAGTACTGGATATTATTGTATGAATTTCTTCAGCGTTGCTCGCGCTGGGAACAACTGTTGTGTGAATGCATTGACTGTCTGTGCTGACCTTTGATGGAACACAGATTTGGAAAGGTGCAGTCTCATGTTCCTGTGATGAAGACTCAACAGATACAGCATTGTCCTTTGAAGTCTCTGGTTTTTCATGTTGGTCTTGACAGGCAGCTGATAGATTGCTTTTCTGCTGACCTTCACCATAAAGATCCCTCACAACCTCAGTGTCTGTACCCGACCCAAGTACCTCTAACGCAGGGCTTTTATTCTCATCCATCCCCTGTCTCGTCTCACCTATATGAGAGAGAGCTGTGGTGTCAGTCAACGCATTTCTCTGAGCAGCCTTTCCACTCTCATTTACATCACTGGCTAGGTGAGATGGCACATAAACGCTGTCAACCTCTACTGCACCCTCCCCCTTTCCTTTCTCCAAACCTATCCCACGTTCATTGCCACTGCTGTCATCCTCTGTCAACTCATCCCCTCTTCCTGACTGACACAAACTCACAACAGAGCCGTGTCCTCCCTCTGCTCCCTCTCTCACCCCGGGAGCCATCGCTAGTGTCTGCCTGGCCTTACTGTTAGTCTGTTCTCCCCCCTTTAGACAGCTACCTGACAAATCCTCTGTGGGATGTCTGGATCCGAGAAGCCGCTGCTGTTGCTGAGCAAAACTGTTTAGCTCCAGTGTGGACTGCGATTGGTCAGGTGCCTTGTCCCTGTCAGAGCTGTGTTCCGGTGTTGCTGTCGGAGTTTGGAGCAAACTCTGCTCATAAACAGTCTGAGGTTCACTACCAAACTCTACCTCAGCACTTAATCTGTCTGCAGATGACCCCACAGGTCTGTTGGGAGATAAGGAGGAAGTCTGGCTCTTCCCTTCTCCTTCCTCCTTTATATCCCCTATTAGCGATTCAGTCTTTTGTATTTTATGTTTATGCGGTGGCTGCAGGTCTCGAATTTCTTCCACAGCTTCTGTATCTGGCCCATTACCCTGTTGCAGTGCTGTGCCTCTCTCTCCTATCTGCACTGTGCTCCTGTCTGCTGTTTCCTTTTGATTATCCATTGTTGCCTCTTCAGTTTTTTTCTTTTCCTCTGCAAACAGCATGGAGGTCTGATCTCCCATTTTCTCTTTCATGTCTTCTTGTTTAATTTTATCGCAAGCCTTGTTGGTAGGCAGGTCAGAGCTGACATAAATGAGGTCATCCTTAATAGATGCTTCACAAATAACAGGTTTAATGCCAATTGGCTCAGTGTGGGATTGAGAAATGACATTATCAGACCCATCCTTTGCCAGCACACCCACTGCACCAGGAGGCTGAAGAGGAGACACATTGTTTTCTTGTGAAAATGGAATATTTACATTTATAATTGCAGACTCCATAATGTGATTTTTATCCTCCAGCTTCGGACAAACCCCGTCTACTTTAACACCGACATCATTATGCTCCAGATCCTTTGCAACAGACAGTTTAGTTATTTCCCTGCTCTTGTTGCCATCTTCCTCTCCAGAGACTTTGGCGCTGTCACCGTAAGCGCCGCTGTTATCTGTCTGCTCAGGAAGAGAGATATCACAGTCAGAAATTAACTCCAAGTGACTCAACAAAGGGCCACGGGGCCGCAGCACAAAAGAGTTACCGACACATTGCTCGATAACAGGAATTGACTGGTCAGAGGCTGTCACTACTGAAGCTGCTGATTCAGTCTTTGTCTGAACAGCAGAGGGGATAATGGACCCCTCAGTGGCCTCAATGGGATCAGTAGTGAGTAGTCCACGAGGAGGGGTTTGATCTAATTGGATGGGAGGCTGATAACTGAGGTGACTAGGCTGTGTCTGAAGATAGGGGTCAGGGTCTGCAGAGAGCTGCCCAACAAGAAGCTCAGAGGTGACATCATCAGCTGGACGCACAGAACATGAGATAAGAGGATGTTGGTTACCTTCATCACTTAGTAAAGGTGACTCCTGAGGCGGGACAGTCGTAACTGAGTTTTTAGACTCAGCATGTAGCTTGTCTGTTTCTTTCTCAGCTGATAAACACAGATTTAAGGCACCCTTGCGTGTTTCCGCCTCTAATTGCTTTGTCACATTTGCTGACACCAGCTCAGCTTTATGATGATCGGCCTCAGGGAAGGCATTTTCTGCTGCATGTGAAAGGTCACCATTCTTCTCGGTCGGACATAAAGGTTGTTTTGAGCAAGCCTCAGACTTTGAATCCGTTGTGTTTGTCTCGAAGTTGCTGTTAATGGTCTCCTTGTTTACTTTTATCCCCATCTGCCCTTTATCCGACTGTACATCTTTCTGTGGCTTTGGAAAGTCGGACGGGCTCACTTTTGCAAGATCGTCCTTGGCAGGAGTTGCATTTGTTGGAATTTCTGGCTTCTTCAAAACCAGGAATTCTGGGAAGATGTAGCTGGCCTCAACCACGGGATGGTACAAACTCTCATGAACAGTCAGCGGGGGCAAAGAGGCGCAGTCCATAGGCGACAAAGCCATGCTCCTGAGATTCACAGAGGAACTGCCTTCTTGTTTCACAGTGTCTGCAAAGCGGACTCTGTTGTTGCCTTTATTGCCTTCACATAAGGACACACGCACTCCCGACATAGCGTTAATATTATTCGGGGTCTGTGCTTGGAAAGTTTCTTCTGTGCTACTTTCAGGCTGGACCTGTTGATCGTTGCTCGCTTGTCGCTCGGCTGTGATTTGATGTTTAGTAGTCAGAGGCTGGGGTGAGATGGAAGACGGGAAGAATTGGCTGCAGTTTCTCTCCGTCTCTGTGATGGATGAGTCCTGTGTGAGATCAGCCCTTACCCCTCTGTTTTCATTGCTGCTTTGTTGCCGGTTAGATGAAATTAGTGCACCATCCTGCTGCTGGTGTCCGGGGGGAGGGAGACGGTCCTGTTCGGTGAAGACGCCTTCAGAGATGGAAGCAATCGGCTCCCTCCAGCCGTGTGACTTTAGCTGTGACTCGGCAACATTGGTGAGCGGACACGCCTCAGCCTCAGATGATGACACCCCACCGGCAGAGCTCTCTGGCTGGCTGAATGAACTGTGCTCTATAGCCAGCCCTCCTTTCTCTCCCACCTCCTCCCCCACCTCCTCCCCTCCTCCCACCAATCCTGCAGCTCTGTGCGCCTGACAATCCGGACCACTGAGTATCCTCAAGGGAGAAGTAATGACAAAGGCTTCTAAATGGTGATGCTCCTTTTCTATGTCTCCCTCTTCAGCCGGTGAGATGTCTGCACTGCGAACAGCCGTCTCTCTCTGTCCCTTTGTTTCAGCCTCAGCTGAGTTGTGTGGCATTTTGCTGCTACAGCTTTCCTCAGATACAGCTTGTCCCTCTTTGGCGGAGAATGCAAGGGAACCTTTTCCCTGTGAACAGATTAATGCAAGGCTGTCCGGGAGTCCCTTTTCCTCTCCGTCTGAAGGGAAGAAGCACTTTTCTATGTCTTCCAAACCTTTCTCTCCCACTGCCTTCTCACTCTCTGCGATCGCTACAGTGGATACTCTTTTCAGTGAATCATGTTCTCGCTCTCTCTTGCTTTCTATCACTTCTGGCATCGTGGGTGTTGCCAGTGGCAACGCAGCAACCACCACTAAAGCCTCTTCAAGGGCACTCTCCACACTGCTCTCTCCCACACAAAATTGCCTGTTGGAGAATGGACTCTGATTCTCGTATGCGAGTATCCCTGCCTCTGAGGAAACTGCACCTGATCTCTTATCGGCAGCTGGATTGATAACTGTAGTTCGGACATGTGTCATGGGTATATCTGGTTTGTCGATGACGGCTCCGGTTGCATGTTGCATCCGCTGTGGGCTTGCTACTGAGCAGTGATTAATATCACATGGGGCGTCTGCATGTTTGTGGTTTTCTGATTGAAGAGGCCTCTGAGAAAGAGCCTGGTTGGATGCAGGTGAACACCCCAGGTCAGAAAGATGATCGTGGCTGCTATGAGAGGATGATGGTGGGGGGCTGGGGCAGGGCTTTCCCCTAGGACTCAGCTGTCTCTTGAAGTCACACCCACAATCCGGCTGCTCCCCGCAAATCAAACTCAGAGCGTCTGCCTGGGACATTGATTCTGTTGATTCTGTGTGAGTGTCCACATTTGTGAGAGATACAGGCTCTGAATTGTTTTCAGGTTTTTCTACTGCCTTTGCTTTCTGGCCAGTCTCTGTGTTCTTCTCTTCTATTTTTTTCTTTTTCCTTTGTTTCTTTTTTTCTTTCTTCTTTGCCTTTTTGTTCAGCTCGGTCTGTTTGTCACATGGAGAGTTGTCTGTTTTTGACTCCTGATCCTCCTGACTTAGATTTGTTGCTCCTGTCTGTGTCTCTGGCTGCCTCTCTGATAATGTGTGTTTATCTTTTAAACGAACATCACTGCACTCTGGTGTGTCGTTAATACTGGATTCATTCCACTTTTCTTTCTTAATGTCTACAATATCTGTTATTGCCTCCTTGCATTTGTCCCCTATTTCTATACTACAATCGACAGTGCTCTTTTTCTCAACGGCTGCATTGGAATCAACATGTTTGTCTCTAAAATCGCCTCTCTGCTCAGTGACATCTTTTTGGGTTTCTTTCAATAAATCTGTGGTTTCTAATTGTGTATGCGTGGGTGTTCCCTTTTGCTCATCTATCTCTGTTTCTGTCTTCAAATCTGAACACTTCTCCAGTCTCTGTGTTGTTTTTATTTCACTCTCCGTCTCTGCTGCCCCAGCACTTTTCTCATTGCCCAGTATGTAATCCCTGAAACTAAACACAACTGTATTCGTCCGACTGTTTGCTGCCTCACTGTTTCCGTGTGTACTCTTGTTTCCATGGCCCCCGTTGCTATGTCCTGGCTGGACTACGAGTGGAGGCAGTGACGATGACTCATTGGATTTTTTAACCATCACTTCTCCAGTTTTCTTCCCTTCATTATGAACAGTCTCAGGTTTGGTGCCCGGGGGCCCTGAGGGACTGAGTGTGCTCAGTGAGGCCATTTGTTCTTCACATTCCTGGAAGGCCTCTTGGAGTTCCCGATCAAGGAGCATGGAGAGGGGAGGGGTCAGGGGTCGGACATCCGGGTGAGGTGTGGCAGAGGGCCGAGGTGAAGGCTGGACATCTGTGAGAACTGGGTCGCTGTCATGAGGCCTGAGACGAGGGTGGGGTGACACAGTTAAGAGTCTGGCAGGCAGACAGCTGGTCATTCCACGATGCCACAAAGCGCTGCTATTGCCACAGCAGAAGGCCATGCTCAGACACTGCACTCCACCATGTGCACACACAACACACAACTGCACTCAGGATGCCTGTTCTGAGATGATCGTAATAATATCAGCTGTTTCTATGTTTATGGTTGTTAATGAACATGCAGGTCTGTTCATACGCTTTCAACTTAAAAAAAACAACAACAAAAAACAGCCTTTAAATATAATTTCCGTTTTTCAAAGTGACTGCCTGATTTTTCAAAATGTCACAAAAGCTTAAGAATAAAAAGTCGTTTTGTATGAGTAATGGTGTTGTGTAAAGCAAGAACCAAGTACTAGCAGAATGATGTTACAATAAATGATTGAGTATTGTAATAGCATCCATATACTATACAATAGTACTACCTAATAGTATTATGAAAAGATTGTATTATAGTCAGGATTTTGTGTACTCTGGTTATATACTAACAATCAATACTGTCTGCCACATCATGCTGATCACTATTATTAATATGTTTATTCTAAAAAACGTTTTTTTAATGTAAAAGATAGTGATTATTAAACTGCAAGTGAATATGCTATATGCTACATTACAGCCTTATTAGCATTCCCTTGAGGGATGGTAATAAATCAAGTCACAAGATAAACAACCTCATGCTCATGCTTATGCACCAAAACAATTCCTGCCTCATGATATTTATATATAACCATTTATCAAAGCAGTGTTATTGCCCTGCAAAGCATTCCCTGAAGTACACAGCTAGCATCACAATGTTAGACTTCTTACAATATAATGCCTGTAACACTAAGGCTAGCTTTGTGCCATTCAGTTGTAATTGCTGAGTCACTGCTAAGTCATTTGCCAGCATTGCAGCAAAAGGTTAAGGGGCCATCTTATCTTTAGGCCTAACTGAGAGGAAAGATCCATCATCATTTTTTAATTATAAGATCAGCTACACTCCTATTCATATCTGGTATCAGGTATCTTGAATCTTTGTGCAGATATAAATAAATTAAGTAAGAACTAATGTAACTAAGTGTCCTGTGTGTGGTTAATGCACTATAAAAAAGCCCTGTCATTTCCTTGTAAATACAATCTCTACCCTGACAACTTGTTATTACTCACCTCACTGACCCTCATCTAATTCAGTTGGCACTCCCTACTAGTGGGCGTAGATGGAAAGTTTTGCTATTCAACAAGCTGTTGCCTGCAATGTGTACCTGAGCTTAAATAAACCAGGTGGTTCTTGCCGTTTTTAAGACCACCTATGTCCTTTGCCCTGCAGTGTTTAGCTTAAAAGGCAGGAACTCCAACGTTCTTCATTTGAATTTTTGCAGTTCGAGTACTTTTATCTATCCGGTAAATGTTTGTAAATAACCTTTTTTGGATGAATACATTATGGTACATGAAAAAGTGTGTAGTTGCTAATAGATTCTGGTCAGTAATGAATTGTTAATCAGTCCTTTATACATTTGGATTTTTTGGTAATGATTACTTCACGAATGAGTCTTATTGACGATAACCTTCTTTATTCCAGGTTATCTAAGAATTAACTACAGCAGCAAAAACCAGTAATAATTCATTTATTGCTTATTTAATAATTACACTTTCTGTGCACCCTTCAGTAAAGTGATACATCATACTTAGGAGTTACTAAGAAGTCACCCTTCATAACTTCATGATCATCTGACAGTTTTTACCTAATTTGTGTGTTCCTGTTATTTTTAAATTCATAGTTATTACATTCACATACTTCTGCTATGAGTCACTTTTTCAGAGCACCTTAATGCCTCAGACAAATTAGTACAATTACCCTTAAGAAAACCAGGCAACTGTAGACACAGAGCATAAAGTTAGTCTGCAGGTAATTCACCCAAGCATTAAAAACAAACACACCTCAGTCTGCTTAGAAAGAAGATGTCCAGCACACTCCAGCCTAAATGAGAAATGTTCAATGACCCTATCATCCTTTGGGCACACTCCATGCTCCCTGTTTTACTTTGGATCATCCCTGCTGAGCACACTCCCACCTATCCCCCATCATGCTGATTCTACATTGTACCTTTTATCTAGACTGACTTCGTGGTGCTGCTGCAGGCCCACCAGCAGGGGGTTCACCTGCTCACATTTCCCCTCTGCTGAGCTAGTCTGAGCTCTGCGTAAACAAACCCACACCACATGTACACACATGTAGACACACATTCACAACAAATCAATATCAGCTTTCCTTTCACCTTGACCTGATAGTTGGTACAAATGTGCTCCATAAATCACAGCCATAAATCAAGCAAAATGTATATCAAATAAATGATTTTACAAGAATGCAATAATAATATGATACACTATTGATCATAAACCTGCATCCTTAAGTGAAAACATATATTTACATATACATATTGTTTTACCTTCAGATAAAACCTTGGAAGTCTATACATTAAGTATGATGGACCACCAAGTTTCAGCAAAGTACATTTAAGACGTTTGAATGCCATAGAAAGATGCTAAGATTGCCAAAGAATCATCCCAATATTGCTAAAATTGTGGTGTAATAACATTGTGATGTCAAATGTTCCCTCCTGAGCCCCGCCCACAAGGGAGGGGAAAAATACATTATGATATAAACAGTGATAGTTACCTCCATAAGTGTGTATGCGTGTTTATGTGCATGTGTTTATATCCTTAACTTACCCCAGAGAGGACTCCCAGATGTTGAGCTCACTGCTGAAGTCTAGACTGGGCAGCAGGTCATGAGGAAACTCCAGCTCGTCCTCATCTTCAGCTGAACTCCTGCTCTCCTCCACCCCGCTGATCACTGGGACGTCTGGTAGGGATAGCAGACTCTGCTGGCTGCTGGAGGATACAGTCAGAAGACCTTTGTCCTCTCTCTTGGTCAAACTCTTAGCTTCCGGCTGTGGAAGAGGGAAATATAATGGTAGTAAGTCTTTGCTGCACATGATAAGAGTGTGAAGTTAAACAAGTGTGAGCATGTTGCACCATATTTATAGGTGACTTGGTTGTGAACAAACATGGGAACACCTACAAATTCAACACTCAAAGCCAAACCTCACAGAGAAATAACTCCACCCATGTTTAACTATTAAGTGAAGTGTTGTTTGTGTGGCAATGTGTAGGTCATACTGACTGGAGCTCCTTTCATTGTCTCTCAACTTGCATTTCTTATACTATTACTGCGATTAAAGGATTATTTCTAGTGTTATAGCCTAGAATTAATGCCCAGGCTCAGTGTCCCCAGGCTAATCTCTGCAGCTTTGCTTACACTGCAGTTCTCAGCAGCAACTAACTATTATTGTGAAAGAAAAAAGGGAACTAGTTTAATTAAATGTTTCATTACAGCCGGGTGTTCTCTACCTTGGAAACACCTCACAAGGAAGTCTGCTATGATAAAACATTTTGCCAGCCAGAAAGAGTAATCATTAAAGACAAACCAGTCCTGCTGGAATGTGACAGGCAGAATCACACATGTGGTTAAACAAGTCATCTCAGATTTAATTATTTTGTATAAAGCACCTTCACATGAACATTCATCATAAAGGGCCTCACTTAGAAAATAATTGACAAAGAATAATAGATTTATTAAAGCCCAAGATTAAATTATGTAAACACCAACAATTTAAAGTGGACCTATCATGCTATATTATAATAATATAGTGTAGGACCATACCTATATAAGGCATATTTATACTTTTTTTTTTTCAAAATACCAAACAGATTATGCATTTTAGCCATGCCTCATTTCACTCAATTTGCACTTTTTTACCCCTGTTTTTGCAAGGGCTGATTCAGTGAGAACAGCACCATCTACAGGCCTGGCATATGTACTACAGCGTCTCCAGCGCTTTCGAACGGCAATGCAGTGGTTGTCTCCTCCTGATTGGTGGAGTTGGCCCAATAGCCGTAGCGCCACCGTCCTGACGTCAGGACAGTATTCAAATCTGGATCAGTTTTTATCAGATCCGTTGCAGCCCCTTTTTTAGAGATTTGGGTATGGAGGAAAATAGAGAGGGTTGTGTTTTCTGACACTTGGTGAGTTCCCTGGAACACCGGGGACACATATTCATGTATAAAAGACGTACAAAAGTGCATTTTGCATGATAGGTCCCCTTTAAGCATAAACATGAAGGCTACAAAAGTGTACTCCAAGTTAAAAGACAGAGAATAAATATTTAGTTATTTAAATACAGAGTTTTTATTCTAATACCAAGAGGCACTTCCACAGTTGGGCACCAGTCTCACCTGTTATGGGACACATTTTCTAGAGATAATCTTTTTGAAGACATTTTCAGTCTTTCCTTTTATCATGAGAAAATATTAAGACGTAAAAGTAAGTAGTGCATTAAAATGTGACCTCCTGAAACCAACACATGGGGCTCTTATAGTACATAGCTGTTTTTCCTACTCGTTGACTGACAGACAGACAGAATCCAACCACAGCACACACCACAACACTCGGCTGTGGTGGCATCATATTGCAGCAACAACACAACACTTCACTGTGGACCCTCTATATCAGTGGTTCTCAACTGGTGGGTCGCGACCCAAAAGTGGGTCGCGGACCCGTTTCAAGTGGGTCGCGGATGTGTGAGTGAAGAAAAAAAAATAGAAAAAAAAAAATTGGAATTTTTTTTTTTTTTTTTTGGGAAAAAAGGCAAACTTTTATTTTGAAGAACCGATTTTCTAACGCTGTGCATGCAGTAGGCGTTGGACTGGAAGTACCGGAGACCATAAACGGTTTTGAAAACTTCTGTCACGTAGTGATCATCTTCTCAATAAAACATCTCTGCTGATGTTTTTTCGAGTCTTCTGGCCAATCAGAATCAAGATTGTTGCCGGAAGTCCCCACGGGGGATAACTTAGCGGTAGAACTATTCTTTATACATCCATGGGTACAACTTCAGATAGAAATGAACACATAATGAAATATGACCCCCGGTTTGATGATTGACAGGTCACAGAACAATGGGAGCTATCTACCCTTACCCACAATTTAAAGTAAGTCACACAGACTATCTCCTCTTTACTCTTCTCTCAGCAAGCTGTCAGAACTAAGTGAAAAACAAACAATGGCATAAAATATTATTAATATGTATGATTTATTTATTTTCTTCTCAGAGTGTACCAGAATGCGTAGTTTATGTTAGTATTTCAAAAAATCTCCTGGGGGAGAATCCCCCCAGACCCCCCTGCTGGGGTTGGGTTTTCAGCATGTGTGCCTTTTTATATAGTTCAGCTTTGATTCCATCATCTCATTAAACCTTTTTTAAAAGCATACTTTAGTTCTGTGAAGGGATATATGCACTGTACTTCACTTTTATTAATATTGTATTCTGAAAAGCGTATATTACAGCACGATATTTTGTTGAATAGATTTGAGTGCTTCAAAATGTTGGGTCGCGATTTATTGACCAAGTAAAAAGTGGGTCCCGAGGCCTAACCAGTTGAGAACCACTGCTCTATATGATGGAATTTCTCCCACATAGGCCGCCTCAGTTTACATAGGGGAACGTTTCCATTGTTTCAGTGCAGGTGCAAACAAATGTGAACGTAAGCACAGACACATAAACATGTGCAAACAGCTCTTTAACAGTCCGTATGTCGGGACGATTTGAACTGTTTCTTACAAAGAGGATGCTGATTTTAGCAAACTACAATGTGATTATATTTATAAATGTGAGTACAGAAAGATTAAAAACCAGTGTTCTAATGCCAACCATCAAGGATTAGCTGAGATTCAGAATTGAATCCATTCATTCATTATGTATGAACAAGTAGACAGCATGGCTGCACACAAAAGGAGGTGCGTATCATGACCAATAAACAGAAATCATGATTTTAGGAGTCTAGTTTTAGCTGCTTGCACTGTTATTTTCACTTATTTAGGTTATTTTAAAGGTAATGTAGCAAATTTGCTTTACATTCATTGATTTTAAAATGCAACAATCAAAAATGTAGTCCTGCTTTAAGATGAACTACAAAATGTCACCTCACATGTCAGTGGTGCCTTTTGCAGATATTAGAGACAGGCTAACAAGTAAAGCTGTTTGTGTAGTTAAGAGGCTCTTGAGTCACTGGCCTCACCTGTGTCACCACAACAAAGAGCCTGACATGGAGGATGTTGCTCACGCGATCACAAGAACAAAAAAGATCAAATCTCCACTGCACTACGCCTTTAAAACTCACTTTAGAGGAATGTTGGCCAATTGTAGCCTCTCTCTTCACATCTGTGTTTCCAAGCCAGATTGAGTTATTTTGAAATGTTTATTTTAGACTACTCCTGCTAGGCTGCAGAAAAAAACATTAGAGAACGTAAGACATGAAAGAGTAAACCTAAAAGAGTGTGCTGCAGGTGTCACTCTGAATGCCTGTGATCTCCATACTACTGTCATTCGCTGTATCATCATAGGATTTTTAACAAACAATTCACACCTTAATAGTTCTACATGCAGAAATGAACATAGCTTTATGATAAAAGTCTGTATGTTGACGTGTCTTTGGCTTCCTGTTTCCTGCCTGAACTTTCTCACCTGATAATGTCACAGTGGAAACAAACTCAGAGCAGCTACAACAGAGTAACAATAAACAGCCCCAGGAGTTTACAACCAACACTTCATCCCCACATTAATGGCCATTGTATGAAGAAGTGGAAGCTCAGTGAGGTGGAAAAGCATGGCCCTTGTTACAGTTAGTGTGACCCCCACGCAGAAAGCACTGTCTGTTATCCATTAACCAGCAGGAACAAAACAGAAAGCACACTTAGGTTGCCTAGAAACTACTACTTGTCCAACACTCATTATATCCCACTTACTGTTAACTCAATCTGTCAGTGCCCATGTGCTAACACAACTGTAATGCCTAACACATGACTGTTGTAAACAGGGAGGAGGCTGAAGCAGAGCCAAGCCCTCACTAGACATTACACAGCTCTAACACAACCCTTCTTTACATCCCCTGAGTTGCACTTACCCAGCAGTGTTTGCTCCTCTGTGCTGCTGAAGGTGACTCCTCTGCTACCCTTCTACCTTTCTCTCTGCAGGGCTGTGTGTTTTGAAGAAGGGGGCAAACATGCTGCAACACATTCTGCTGCTGACGCTCACACTCTCCTCTCTGGTACTGACTCAGCTCCTCCTCTCCTCACAGTCCTGTCCTGTCCTCTCTGCTGCTGCTGACACTCCCCTGTTACATTTCCATGCGCCTCCTCAGGATTGTGTTTGTGGAGAGACACTACTACGCAATGACACACACAGTGTTTGCTGCTGAGACTTGACTGAGCTGGCCACAGGGAAGTGCTGAGCATTCTCCTCCCCCTCTACTGTACACAGCTCTTTTCTTTTCCCTCCTCCTTCCCTCTCTTCTTCTTCCTGCCCTATATCCACCTCTGCTTCCAGCCTCCTCCCCTTTCTCTCCCTGCTGCTGTGTCTTCTGGCTGCCTACTGACAGAGTGACAGTGCCTCTGCAGGTGAATGCTGGGAATTAGGCCAAGGGTCGGGCCTGCAGTGACCCCCTGAGAGGGGATCAGGTTACATTCCAAGAAGCTTTGGTTACATAGCACATTGGGCACATGTACACAGAGGCACACAACATCCTGCTGCATTAGAAAAGCTCCTCCTTCATCCAACTCTGACCTGTGAGTGTTGCTAAGGTGTGACATCATCAGAGGATGACAGCACCTTCTCCTCGATGCTTAATACACTCTCCCTCTGGCCATTAAAACACACTCTGGTCCTCGGGTAGGAACATAACATCTGTCAGTACACTGAAGGTTTTCAGCTGTCATTATAAAGTACATCTCCCAGGCTAATTTTCACTGGATATTAAAGGGGATCACACGTGTTAGCTTTGGTGTAGGTTTGGAATCTTTCTTATTTCTCTCTTCCTGATACATCATCATAAACATATGTAAAATACACAACCATCATGACACCAAACAAGGGTGGTAAAGAGGGTTGCATTCTGGAGGATGCTTTTTCCAAAGCAATGCTACGATGGCAAAAATAATACAAATAAACCAGATCAAACCGACAAATAAGTATGAAAGATTATATAAGTATGTAATGCCATTTAAAGGTGGGGTAGGTCATTTTGGAGAAACCAGCTCGAGAAAAAATCTGCCACTTCCTTACAGAGCCCCTCCTCCAACACACACGAACGCGCACATGACCAATGAGGGCACGAGATAAGTTAGTGCACAGATGGAAGGCTGACAGGCAGGTAGGCCATCCAGTTATTTTAGCCGGGCCGGCTAAAATGATTGGTCGTGCTTTTTACAGTACTACGGCTTCCACAGATGACATTTTTTTATGGATTTTTTGTCAAAGCACTTCAGATATTCATTGCTATCGGGATGTTAAGAGCATTCCATGGAATATAACAAAAAGTGTATCTCGAGCCGGTTTCTCAAACTTACCTACCCCACCTTTAAGTCAATTTAAAATAAATATATAAAGAAAGAAATACTCCTATGAAATAAAAAAAATACTCCTACAAAATAAATAGATATGCCTATGGAATAGAATTAGAATTGGGAGGGATGAAACCCTCTTTAATGGTCACACATGCAGAGCACACAGCACACACAGTGAAATGTGTTCTCTGCTTTTAACCCATCCTAGTACCAGGAGTCTAGTACTAGAAGCAGTGGGCAGCTATTGTACAGTGCCCGGGGAGAAATGGGAGTGAGGGGGGAAGGGGGGGGTGTCCGGTGCCTTGCTCAAGGGCACCACGGCAGGGCAGGAGGTGAACTGGGACCTCTCCAAGTAGCAGTCCACACTCCATATTTTAGGTCTGGTCGGGGACTTGAACCGGCGACCCAACAGCTCCCAGTCCAAGCCCCTACTGACTGAGCCACTGCCAGAACAAATTGTGACAATAACTATATATTAAAACATGAATGAGTCTTTAAATATATTTTAATTTTTAAATAATGTTTTAAATTTCAATTTATTTCAGTGATTTGAATGGAATGTCCTATCTTTTATATGCACATGAGGGTGGGGTGTGTGGTTATTTTACAGATATCATACCATAATTATTTTTTTTCAAATACGTATTCATTTATAAAAAGATATTGAATAAAATGGCAGTGTAAATAAAATGATTGAAATTGCTCAAATTCACAAAATGGCACTTTAAGAGTAAGGACTCAAATATGATTTCCCTGCTATTCATTATTAATAATCAACAGGCAGAGTTACACTTTGTTGGATATCTTGTAAAAATAAGGTTAATGACACTCTTTCTGTTTTTGTTTAGCTTAATATCAACAGCAATCAAGCACGACATTTGCATTTTTGGCACACTGTAAAGCACTTAATAACAAAACCAGAAAGAGTCATTTTAATGTTTAATGTTTACTGTGAAAGGATGCATTAAAATGTCTCACCTATCAGTTAATATTCCCTCTGGATTTCACACTCTCGCTCACACACATACACCCACACATTTTGTACCTGTCGGGAGTCATTTTGATTTTCCTGAGGTTGAAACAGAACAACATTTTCCGCAGCGCCCTCTTCTGGCTGTAACAGGAAATGAAAGTGTTCAACCAGAGTCGTTTAAAGGGAACAGCCACTATAGTGCAAAGCAGCAGTGGTATGCACCAAGGCACTGAAAACAAATCACATGTTTTTTAAGGCAAAAGCAACAATGTTAAGCCTCACTCTCCAATCACATCTAATGAGGTCCACTACATGAGACTATAACTCATGAGACAAATGTGTATGTTAATCCTATTAAGATAATCCTGAATTCCACTGCTGGATACAGTCACATGTGACTGTGTTAAAACATCGTGATGGATTTTATAAGCTGCAAGAAATCAAGCTTGGAAGCATCAGGGTGCAGCAATCAGAATACAGCACATTTTTAGAGCCATATAAGCATCTAACATGTATCTTAACCTATGCTTTAAGCCACAAAATAGAGAAAATGCATGTTATCTAAATGCTTATTAGAAAAGATTGAATTAAGCATGAGAAGGTACACAAAGCACCATTTACATCCCAAGTGTTTTACTGAAGCCAACAGTTAGTAATCGTGCGAGCCAGTGTTAGTTTTGTCAGAGATTGAGCATCATAAAGCAATCTTAGCCATCTAATGCCAGCGAGCTTACCCTTACCAACGCCTCAGTTGTGCTGCTCTCGTTTCCCATGGCTCAGCCAGCTGCGGGGCCACAACTGCCCAAACCAACAGCCTCTCACATCAGCTGGCTGAAAGACAATGGCACAGAGGGACCATCAGCGTAGGACTATTCCACAGAGAGACACACAGTGTGATCAGCAGTCACAGAGTCTGCAGCATTACAGCTCTCTGGCATGAGGTTGTGGTACCAGGGAGGGAGAATGGTTAAGTGTGTGTTGTTTAGGAGATTATGGACTTGAAGCAAGACCTCCTTCTCAGACCAAAGGGCAGGCTTTCCCTCCGCTGAGGCAGAAACAGATCCCCTAACAAGCATCTTGTAATCATAAAAGTTTATTCTAGAGCATACTTTAAGAGTATATTGGACAAATTATGAACAGCAGCCCCTTCTCTGGTTTGAATGACCTTAAACAAATAGCATTGTCTCTAAGAATACAACATCTCTTTACATGCATTGTGTAACACAGAGTGACTGTCTCATAATGACACAGTGACTTAGGCTCAGTTAGGTAATCCTCATAACAGATTGGGGTGTTTGTTGGCTTCCAGCAGTGTTCAGTCTGTTAAGGAACATGAGTCAAAGCTAATGAAATCATCCAGAAACATACATATATTTGAAAAAAACTGCAAAGATATTTCAATTATTTGAAGAAAAGCACATCAAAGCCATGGTTTGATTGTATATCAAATACAGAAGAAATCGCTTTCATAACCTTATCAAATAGTCCGATGACATCCACCTTTATTTCCCCTCTTCTTTGATGTATGTATTGCAGCTGCGCAGTAAACACTCGTGCGTGGCGTTTGTGCATTCCTCATATATGACTGCAGGGAATATACGGCTCTGTAGTCAGAAACCACTGACCTGAATATGCAAGACTTTATAAATAGAGTTCTGGCCTATCCACTTTATTCCAGGCTTGTGCACAATTAGTCATGCACACTTTATTTCCAAACTATTATCACAAAGGCTGTATATTCTACTCAAGTATACAAATAATACATTTTTGTTGTACATATTTCCTATGATTATCCAATCAGGGAATTTAATATCTGGATTTCCCCTTACTGAACGTCTTAATTCTGATTATTTGTTGGTGTGGCGACACTTCCCATCGCTGCCTGCTTGCTATTTGTGTGAATGGGGTGTAATTTCAGCCGTGGACGTGTGTGCACTTTAGCAGGCGGCAGTGTTTCAGAGCTTTTCGGAAGCACAGACAGCACTGGGACAAATCATATGATTAGACATTTGCAAGGTCTCTTCTCACCTCATCTTGGCCTGTCAGTCACTCAACATGCGCCATCGTTTAAGCTCTAGGGTTTAGATGAGCAGTATGTCTTCCTTTAGACACCTACAGTATCAGGTTACTGCTTCCTGCCCCACACCTGACCCCTCCACTCACTGGCAGAGTAAAACTACCAGGAACACAACAAGGCTAAATACAATGCTGTTTTAAAAAAAATTACAATCCGATATTGAATTTCATAGATACACATATTATAATTCAGCTAGGTAAGAGACAGAGAAGCCACCGGGGCAAGGCAACTCTACTTAACACATTTAAATCTCATATGGCATTAAACATGACAATACAAAAGTTAACCAAAGTCACAAAAATTCCATCGCAGCTTTAAAAATTGTCAAGTTTAACCCTTTTTCCTCAATTTTTTATATTTTTCACTGCAAACCACACAAATAATCCAAAATCTGCGTCATTGATGCAACTCACAAACTACTCACCACTGCAGACTTTTCCTCACAGTGTCAAGCTTTTTATCAACCCAAATCCAATCTTTGTTTACTGTCAGACTCAAGGCCAATGTTTGTTTCTGTGCTCTCCTCTGAGGAGCCCCGGTCTCTCTGAAGCTATTTTTAATATCACACGCAGAGTGGGAGGAGAGGACGGAGGGGGGACACAGGACAGGGACAGGAGAGGAGACAGGCCCTAGGGGAGGAGACCGAACTGGAGCTGGGGAAGCCATGTCTGCTTAGGGTGGTAGAGGTATCTGTGTGTGTGGGTGGGGGGCCCGTCAGTCAGCTGGAGGGAACGCTAGATCTGAGGCCACACTGTAAACAAACAGGCACGCTACACTGAAAAAACTGAAACGTTTACTTTAATTAAATGTATTATGTCAACAGATGTCATATAACTGGGTTAGTTGAAAGCAATAATACGTTTAAATAAAACATATTAGGTTCAACTTAATAGTATTGCTTTCAACTGACCTAATACAGTTATATGAAATCTGTTTCTGTAATACATTTAAATAAAGTCAACATTTCAGTTTTTTCAGTGTATGGACAGGAGAATGAGGAGTCCTAGCTCCCTGATGATAATATTCAAAATAACTCCAAACCTTTTCACATGTATTCATCCTTTAAACCTCAGTGTGATGCTCTGTCAACACCTCACTTCCGTACATTTAGCAGTGATTGTAGACCATAGTCAAACATCACAAACCCACTCTGACATAACCACCACCGGCCAGAGCAACATGCAAGCAAGAGACACATTTATATTTGGACTACAGAGGGTTTGAAGTGTATTTTGGATCCTGTTTTATCTCCCATCATCACAGGCCATCTTCAGCAGAGTGCCAAGACTTATTGTCATCCCTATAAATAACACTGCCTCTAGTTTCTTAAATCACAGCATACTTTCCAAATACACTTCCCTTGGAGGTTCCTCCTATCTCAACTGTCATCCAGGCCCTGGTGTAAATGAACCGTACACATGTACATGATCATGTCAACATGCCTTCCATCTTCCTCTCAGCATCTACACTCAGCTGCTCCTTTCCTCAGCCTCTCCACAGCCCCTCCTCCAACACTAGAGAGCTCCTTCTCTCTATCTGCCTTTGCCTGAGTAAAGACTCCAGACTGGTAAAGCCTGTTCCCTCTCCTCATCCACTCTCAGGCATGGATGCTGCACTGCAGGCAGCCTCTGCTCAGCATCCTCCCTCTTCTGTTTACCTGTCTGCGTGAGATTCCAATGCAGCTCCCCATCTTGTATTCCATGTCCTCCTCTGGTGAAGTGACTCTGGCACTACACGGCTTGCAGAGCACCTTTCTGCAGAACTGCATCGTTATTTCAGCCTGAGCATCGCCGGGGCTGGCAGGTCTCTGCTGGAGCAGTGGAGTGAGCGTGTGCACGCCTCTGTGGCTGTACGAGTGTGTGCCTCAGTGACTAATACACGCTCTGCACTGCATTGCCCCTGGTGAGCCTGTGACATATATGTTCAAGTCATTGTTATATTAAAAAAGCAACAAAAAAAAAACGTCATTACATAAGAAGCCTAATTAGGAGTGTGAAGAAGGGAGCTGCTCTTCTCTGCCTCATACGCAGCTTAGCCTCACATCACTGCACGGGTGTGACTGAAGCACTGCTTTGGAGGGAAAACATGCTCAGAGGGAGAGAGGAAGAGATGGGAGGCAGCAGAAAGAGTGCCTGTCTCTTTAAGTGCCAGGAGATGCAAGGATGATGTTCGTACATCATCATGATGAGAACACACAATGATATCAGTGTGCTCATCTAGCTGAATGGAATCATAGTGATGTTAACTCAGTCAGAATAGAGCAAGGGGAGACTGAAAACATATTTTATGCAGGGTTTTTTATGTTTTGATCCACGTTTTGGGTTCCGCTACATATGACAGCAGAAACATGAATCCTGACAAGATATTTTCCCAACGTTCCACATGGGGTTTTCTTTTAAATAAAACAATAAGAGAATAAAGACTTTATTAAAAAGGGTATCAATTAATTGCAATCATTATTGTTCAGAGAAATAAAATATGTCTGCACATAAGAGTACACGATAACAACCATGAGAATGTTTAGAGAAAGACCAAGTCTAGCAGAGTGGTGCTCAGATAACAACCAACTGCTTAACGCAAAGCCAAGGAGATCCTTTTTTTATTTAAAAAAAATAATAAGTTCCTGGGAATCAGCATCACAAACAACCTTGCATGATCATCGCACATTTGAAAACATCATCAACTGGCAAAGGATGTGCATAGGACATCATAGGTGGCCATCTACCGCACAACATGCCCAAGAAGAATCCATAAGATAATAAATAAAAACACCCAAGCCACAACCTGTTCCCCTGCTGCCATCGGTCAAGAACAGGAAGTACCTGCTACTGTACCACCTGACTACAGCGCAGCTTCTTCCTCCAGCGGAAGCATTCATCCTCCACACAAAAGTTTTGCTTGTTTTGTTTTTGTATGTAGCATAAAAGGACTGCAACTGCATTTTATTACATACCTGTGTTGTACAATGACAATAGATGAACCTTGTACGAGAACACCTGAACCTGGAAGGATGATGTTGGTTGGTTGAAAAGCATTAAGTCGGTAGTTAATATGTAGTTTTGTTTTAACACAGATATCGGGACAACCAACCGTTGTGCTTCATGTTACTGTAAGCCACTTGTTCCCTGCCTTTTCAAACCTTGTGGGACCTTAAAATAAAGCAATCTCTACATGTGAATCACTAGTTGCACGTCTGTGGGTCATGGTCTTTAAATGCTCATACATGCCTCTTTGTTCTAGTGCACAACAATTTCAAATATTTAAATGCACAAGGTTTAACCCAGGTTTTCCCAACCCTCATTGAAAGCCATTCAAATGACAGCAATATAGGTCATATTCCAATTAATTAATTAAAACAGTACCAGCTTTCTCCTTTTTTTCCTTTTATTATTCAAACTTTAACAACAGTAAAAAGCCCAGATGAAATCGATATGTGCAACAGTAATAAGTCACTGCTGTGTGTATTTACAAGAGTGATCTTGGCCGCAAATTTCTAACAATTCAACAAACAAAAAAGGCGGCAGGGTCCATCACTCAGGCTGCGCGTTTGAAGGCTGGATCAATGTGTTCCTGATGTCGTAGGCCTCTATAAGTTCCTGGGTAAAACAACATAACAGTTGACAAAATGAAAATCATGATTATGACATAACAAAAAGAGTTAACATTTATTTTAGCCATGTATATTCTCAGTTTTCAGGCTAAAACTTGCTAACCTTCCATAGTTTTGGGCTGATGGAGACAATGCACTGTTTACGGATGCTTGATCCTCCAGCTTCCACCTCTCCCTCCTCCACTGGAGCTGAGAAACAAAGACAAAGAACCCTGGTTAAATAATTTACCTAAAGACATTTGTATTGGTCAGAATAATACATCAAAATATGACATCTTCTTACCTATACAAGGTAATTTGTAATTATCGAAATACATCCTAGCCAGCCCATCCTGAAACACAAACAACATTTTCACACTTGGTAACGGTCACTAGAGGGCAGAGAAGTTCCGTTTATCCAAACATCAGCTAAGGAAGCTCACCCTGACGAGAAAGGACGTGTGGAAAATGTTCTCAACTGTCCGGGAAAACGACTTGGGGTCGATGACAAACTCGTAATAGGATATTGGTGATGTTGCTGTGACAGAAGCAGAGACACGTGAGCGAATAATAATCACACGATGAAGAAATATCATATAGGTCGGCTTTAAACTCACGATCATCTTGGTAATACGTCTTCAGGTATCCCAGGATCCTCTCCACCTCTTTCTCTGTCGCTTCTTGATGGGAGCCTTCCATTTTCTTCAGCTGACAGACAACATTAACATGACAATCAAAAACGCTGTGTTTTGAAAGATTATTGACTGAAAATGTTACTTTTAAAGTAGGGCTGTCAGTCGATTAAAATATTTAATCGCGATTAATCGCATGATTGTCCATAGTTAATCGCGATTAATCGCAAATTAATCGCACATTTTTTATCTGTTCTAAATGTACCTTAGAGGGATATTTTTCAAGTTTTTAATACTCTTATCAACATATGAGTGGACACATATGCTTTATATGTTTGTTTATTATCATTTGAACAATGACAAATATTCTCATGAATATTAAACACAACAACCTCTGAACATTACAAATATTCGCCTCAATTCAACCTAGAACCTCTCTCATACAATAATACAATACTGTGTGTGTGTGTGTGTGTGTGTGTGTGTGTGTGTGTGTGTGTGTGTGTGTGTGTGTGTGTGTGTATGAATGAATGTGGAGACACTGTGATGGATTGTTGGAGCTATGTGCAGCTCAAGGCATATATGCCTGTGTGTATGAGCTGTGTTGCGGCACTATCCGTGCTGAGTGTGCTGTCTGGCTACCTGCATAAAGTCAAGTGCTCGGCGCAGCTGTCGGCGAAATGTCGCTCCTCTGTTTTCATTGAAACAGCTCCTTATATCCGTTAGCTCAGCTAGCTAGCACCAGATGCTAACAACAACACGTAAGGTGTGCTTCGCTCGCGCCACACATACACACACCCTCCCGGTCCTCCCGATGGCCAGTCCGGGCCTGCCGGTGAGCGTGGAAGTGTGGTCTGCCACAAGCGGGCAGCAGGAGCGGGGCTGTCAGCATCAGCTTGTAGATGGTATTTTAAACTCGATGCGCTCTGAAACTACGGCGGCCGAGGACAAAAAATACACATGCGTTAATCGCGTTAAAATAATTAGTGGCGTTAATTTTTTTTTGCGTTAACGCGTTATTAACGCGTTAACTTGACAGCCCTATTTTAAAGATGTATCATTATCCAAAATAAATCCATGGGAGTGTGTACCTGAGTAGGCATTATCCTTTTGACTTCTTTGCTGGGGGGCTTCCTCTGCCGCTCCATCCTTTGCTTTGGAGGAGGCGGCTCTGCATGGAACGAGCCCATCCTGATGAAATGATCCACAATGATGAAAGATTTAGGGACAGAAAGTAGAACTAGGAACAATAAAAACCCAGCAAAGACGCAATACTTGAGTTATAAACAATTATAGTAATAATAAACATCTTTAAAGTGGCAATAGACAACTTTTGGATGAAGTAATGGTTACATCACCATTGTCTATATTAGTTCTGTATGAGCTCTGCTTTAAAAATGTTGTTTAGACATAAACACTGCATCTCTGCTTACTTAAGAGCAATTTGCCTAAAGGCTACTAAACAAAAGGTAGTGGAACAACACGAGTGAGGTAACCAAGTATTGAGTTTTTGAAAACTGAAAGAGATCGGGTTATCTTCTGAAAATGTTTGATGTTCATTCAACGCAGACTTCAAATTAGCAGCTTTCAATTTTACGAACATTTTGTGATCCCTTTGTTATTTCTAATAATTGTTATTGACATATAGCCTGCTGAGGCACTCACATGTAGTGGAAGGAGGGGGCTGCCCTGAAACAGCTCTCTGCTCTCTGGGCCACTTTGTGCCAAGCATCCGGAGGCAGGTAGCCAATAGCTGCTCCGATCGGCTGCTCGTCCTCCCCGTCGTTCAGTCGGTTCAGACCCATGTAGGACAGCTGTCAGAGAAGAGGGAAAAAGATCTCCACATGACCACTGCAACGTTTTCAGTCTTGGTACTCACATTACAAACATATTGACCTTCTATGGCTGCCCTGAACTAAAGATTTATTCAGGCGATTAGTCGACTAATCGTTGCACGTATATAATATATGTTATGATTATAAATACTATTTATTTATTTTTCTCCCAAAATTGTTTCAGTTAATTTACTTAATGACCAGGCTCTGGGTGAAGAGTGAGGGGCTAACGCATCAAAGCACACACAGCGCACAGATGGAGTTTTATTTTATTTTTTTACTTCAACTAATAGACTAATGAAAACATTTTTATGTTAGCCGAGTAACGTTTAGTCGACTATTTGGGGGCAGCCCTATGACTTTCGACATTTTTTATAGTTGTTTTTTTTCATGTTGATTTCTATGTCCTCCTTTTTTTCTTGAATCTTTCTTTTGCTAAGTCTCTGTTTGTTGTACAGTAAAACCATTTCAATAAATTATGACATCCTGTCTTGTTTCAGACAAAGACACGTTCAGATTTACTTTAAAGTGAGATTTGTCTATAACACAAGTGTCCTAGTTAGAGCAGAGAGTCGCATAACATTGACACATCAAGATTTGAAACATACCACCTGTGAATGTTGTTATAACAATGTAGCTGCAATGTTATCTTTCTGTTTATGTCACATGGTCTTATATATGTATTTGACTGTGCTTTATTGAAAGATCTGAAAACAAACCTACTTCTCAGTTTTATAGATATTATAAGAGCAATGATGTACGTTTTCTATAACCAAAGAAAGAAACTATCAACAATGTATGAAGGTACAGTAACAGCTTTTCCTCAGCTGCCATTGTGATCACCGAACCTACTGAACTGAACTTTGGCAGTAATAAGGTGTATAAATAATAAACTCACAAGGTGTTCAGTGAAAGCAGTGGGATCAAAAGCAGCGCCCTCCGCGGCAAGTTGGCTGGCTTTCTCCTTGCCGAGGTCTGTGGTCACAACGAGGAGCTGAGCATCCAGAGCAGCTTCTCTCGGCTGCCGCACTGCCAGGGAACATGCACAAATATAGGGTCAATTGTTTAAAATATAACATCACAGTACATGTGTTTCACGTGCATGTTTTATTTCAATGCAGATGCTGGTTTAAAGATGTTGCTCTGATGGAGAAAAATGTTTTTGGAATGCATTTTTCTGCAGTCCAGTCATGCAACAGGTGTGCAATAAATTGTGGTTGTGTCACACCTACCATCTTTAAAAAGTTTGTTTGCCTCTTCTAAAACTTCTGTGAGCTTGTTGTTGGAGGGACTCAGCATGTCTTCCCTATTCTCTGGAGGGGGGACACAATAACGAAATACATTAATGACATGCCAACAGAATCCTACCTATACTGCCTTGCCAGACCCTCTGTTTACTCACGTTGCACTGACTGGATGAGTTCTCTGTACTTGCTCCGTATTTCCCTCCGGATTCCCGGGTTATTGTCTTCATCTTGCATGTCAGCTTGGCCGAGGTCACAACCACTGTTGTCCCCGTCACTTTGGTCAGATTTCCTCTGGCCTGCAGAGGCATTCTGCCCGGGAGCTTCCTCACCATCACCGGCACGTTTCATGATGCGTCACTTAGTGGAAGAGCTGTTTAGTGAGGAGAAACGCAAAACATGATCAATATAAACAAAGTAGGCTACCTCTCTGCTTGTAAATGTTATAACTAATAAATTACCTTGTGACGACAACAACCGTTACGACAATCTGATTTTGAATCTGGAAGTTTAGCCAAAGACGTTTGGAAAGACGAGATAGAAACCAGCCACTCTAGCTACTTTACAAGATAGTACAATGAAAATGTTGCTAGTGTCATATTAAATATAAGTCGGTCAACACAACATCATTAATATAGTGCAGTCAACTTACCAGTGTCTTACTGTATACATGCTAGAAGGAAACGAACCATAGCTAACGTTGGCTTCTGCATAAGGACAGAAGTATCTACTTAACTTTGTATTAAACACTAACTAAGCATTGCATTTGTGTTATATATCAAGTACAGTGTGGTTAACAAACATACAAAATATGCTGAAATGTGTTTAAAAACCCAAACTCTGATAGGCTATCATGCAAACCAGAAGCAAACTTCTCCCAGATCGGCGGCTAACACTAACAAGGAAGTTCTGAACGGTTTACCATCTTGTGCATCTTTGATCTGAGGAAACATTAGCCGATGTTAGCTAGTACAATCAGTTGTGTTAGCAACGAAGCTAAACGTCATACGTAATTTACAAACAAAGGTCCCACTGAAAGTAAACTCAGAGCGGGTTATTGTTTAAAACATCAATACATCTGTTTACAATTACTTTAACATAGCTACCTGTTTGGCAGACTGAAGACGCGCCAGGATCATCACAAAAATGTTGACGTCAACAAAGTTAGGTTCTTCTTCTATTAGTTTTATGGCGGGCTACAAACCAACGTTTAAGATGAATGCCGCCATCTAATGAAACGGAGTGTGTAGCATCATGAGCATATTTTCTCACATACAAAATAAATAAAACTATATTCTGGATATTAAACCTGTATTTTTAAAATATTTAAATAAAGCCCTTTGCAGCTGCAGTTGTTTATTTCCAATCCCTAAGAATCCTTTAATGCTCCATTCCATTCCTAGATCTATTCTTAAGTATTGCTCTTTCTGTGTTAAATCTTCTAAATACTATTAAATTACAAATCTCACATTAATCCGTTGGTGCCTTTTCGTTTGATAAACAAGGTATCCAGTGGCGTTTTTATATGTACAAAAGTGGTGGGGCACAAAAAACTTAGATGTCTATATATAAGCTTCTGCAGTGACGTGCAGTGAGGTTCATGGCTGGTGAGGTACTGGCACTGACTCTTCAGGTTTACAAATATTATATTTTGACCTAAACCAAAATATAACCAAAACAAAAGGATACCCAAAAAATGTAATTTGATCATTTAAATAATTGTTCTCTCTTAGTAAGATCCCATTTTCAATACAATTGCGGTCTTACCTTGACTTGAAGATGAAGTCCATTTGCCTATCCTTCTGGACAAAAAATTATATTACTTATTTGTAAAAGTCCTCCTTATCTTCTTGTAGTTTCAAAAGTCTATCATAAATCTAATCGATAGATTTATGATTCAAAAATTATAAAAGTAGGGTAGACATGTGGATATTATCCGGCTGAACAAAACGTGCATTTATCTAACAGGTACGTTTCCCACAGATTCTGGGTGTTTCTCAATCGCGAGTAAAGCTGCTTCAGACGAGTAGTATGAAGCTGCAGCCTCGGAGGAGGGTGCACTCTCAGGACCGCATGCACTCTCAGGACCAGTGGCGTCGCCTGGCCTGGGCATCCGGGGCTTTAGCCCCGAATGTTTTTTCTGTAGCCCCGGACAATTCTCCCTCAATAATATAATACATTAACCGTGCTTTACGTGAACCTCATCATGACACAAGAGAGGACGGCAACACTGTAATTTCCCGTGTTCAGTGAATGCAACAGAGGCATGACACCAGACCAATCAGAGAGTTGCATGGAAATAAACGTGTGCTTGTGTCATTCAAGCTCGGGTCTGTGTGTGTGTGGCAATAGCGCATTTAGTGTGATAGAGAGAGAGAGAGGGAGAGAGGGGGAGGGAGGGACCGCTGCCAGCAGGGACCTGTTGTTAGCATCTGGTTAGCTAGCTGCACTAACGGACATAAGGAGCTGTTTGTTCCACAACAAGCTGGAGGAGAGTCCTCTCCTCTCAGACTGAGAGACTCAGGTGAGCTAAAGGACTCTCTGAGTGTTTAGATACTTAACTTTAGTCTAAGTTATCTCAGTGGGTCTCAAACTGTTTGGTCACAAATTATTCAAAAGATTATTTCCGCGGCACACCTTCATATGATCATTATAGTTATAAAAAAAATAAGAGAATAAAGGAAAAACAGTTATGAAATACTATATGGCAGTAAAACAAGAATAGAGTTTAAAAGGGGAGTGATTTGTAAAATATCCATAAAGAAAAAGTACATCTGTTTACAGTTCTGTTTCATATGGGTGCTGAGAGAGGTATCCATAGATCTCTTCATTTTGCTCTCAAAGTGCACCAGATTGATGCTTTTAACTTCAATATTTAAAAACAAATCTTCCCGGGGGAGCATCCCCCCGGACCCCCCTAGAGGAGGTGAGGTCTGCCCCCCACTCATAAAAAATACCACTTTACCCCTGCCTATATGCCGTGAGCTGATTATCGAGCCTTTATTGTAACAGTCGCGGGTGTACTGTGTGTGTGCGTGTGGGGAGTGTTGCAGTAAAAAATGCCACTAGTGCCGCCGCCACTGTGGGCTAAGCCCCGAATGTTTTCAGGCCCAGGCGACGCCCCTGCTCAGGACCCTAGTTGTTTTGCAACATCGCCACCTAGTGAGCAGGAGACATGAATATGAACGACAACGCATAGAGTGTGAGTAGTGTGAAGTGCTTTTAAAGTTTTATTTGTTTAACATTAATAACAATTCCGGTGTCTTGAAATGAAGTGTGATTAGCTAACATTAACTATGATAGTCTTAAGGCAATACAAACAAACATCTGTTAGCTTATGATAGCTTCTAACAGTATTAAAGGCACTAAAAACAATTATTTGTTAGCTATAGCTTTCGGCAAAAGCTAATGCTAATAGCATTAGCTTCATTAGCATATTTGATTGTTTGTTTAATGAAACTGTAGCGTGATTTTGGCAAGCCCAACTAGGTGTCCTACATTAATTGTTGATTTAATCACTAATTACAGTAACACGTGCTAAATGTCATCTGTTAGCCTATGATGACTCGCTGCAAAACCAACTGTTAGCCTTTTTGTTTATTTGTTTAATGAAACCGTATGTTATGGTTATGTTATTTAGCAGAGGCTTTTATCCAAAGTGACTCACAAAAAACATAAAAGAACCATAATTAACATTAGATTATCAATACAAATAGTTACATTACGTATTACATTTTTAACAGGGTAATTAGTCATCTGTAACCTACATTTAAAAAAAGTAAACTTCCCAACCCTGATCATTAATTATAGTCAGCTAATTAATTAAACTTCAAAGGATGACAAAAGCATGTCAATATGATCTGTCTGTCCGCTACATTAAATCAGCAGTAGCCTAATATAAGTTCTGTCTTCAGTGTAAATGCTTCTTTAATAGTCATTGTATTACTATTTGAATTCATTGTAAATAATCTTAACTGTGCTGACTGCCTGTTTACTGTTTATCAGACAGTCTCATCATTTTGACATGTTTTGCAATATTGCATGAGGCGTTTTAGTCAGTTATTATGTCGGCCTATTCTGTAGGTTAGAATCTGTCGTGTCAGAATCTAACAATTAGGCCTAATTTATGTCTGTCTGTGAAAGTATTTCAAAATGTTCAGTTTGACCAATTAGGCTCTCTCTTTTTCAAGATGCATATTTCAATCCAAGAGGGGAGATCCTTGCCCGATTTACAACGATGCACTACATGTTGCAAAGTCTATAAAGTGTCTTTACTTCTGCCTTCTCCTATCCTAGTATTATGAAGTTGATTGACTAAGCGTAAGGTCAGCTAAATTAAGGAAGGTTTTGTTGTTTTTCTGTCTGAATTGTAATTTTCTTATGACATTCTACTTCAGGTGACGTCAACTGGAATATCTTCACAGAGGGACACAAAAGGGAATTTCGGAAGGAATACCAAATTTCCAGGTGCTTTTACTGCGACAACCTTTATAAGGACGTTGGCACAGGCTACCGGGGAAGTGGACGGCGAGGAGTGTTGCAGGGTTTTTACTCAGAAGAGGGCTTCCCGGGGTACTGCAGCTGGAGCTGTTGTCTGGTGGTTGAGGGAACAGCAGACCCCGCCTCACCCCAGTGAAGAATCCACAGTGCCCAATAAATACAAATGTATTCTGCACTGAAATTCCTCTCGTCAAATTGCATGTTTATCTTTTGCAGCCTGGTGCATAAACACACTAACAGTTGTTTTTGAGTAATCTAGCACCTCTTCAAAGACACATTTGATTTGATTTATTTCGAACGTGTAATACAATAAAAAATATATATATATAATAATGAAATGAAACAAGAGAATTATGATACTGTAGAAACATAAGCAGTATCAAATTGATTCAAAGGAGTTTACACTTATTTAACCCCACCCCTTCTCCCAAAAACTAAATTAACAGTTTTCTTTTAACAAAATATACATCTAAATGTATGTCTACATACAATATACATTTACAATTATAAATAGATTATATCATTATTACTACAATATATATATATATATATATATTTATGTTGTATGTCAAATTTGATAAAGACAAATATAAAAGACTATCTTTTTACATCTGACATACAAAATACATTTGTTATTAAAAATCAAAAACATATTAACAACTTGTTGTTAATAATAATAATGTAATTTCAGTAAGAAAAACATATTTTCATGCATTTTTAGATGGTTAATAACAAGCATTACAATGTCTAAAGAGACTCGCAGTGTATGAGACTCAATACTCGCTGGTTGTACTTTTGCGGTCATCCAATCCGCTAGGTGGCGATGTTGCAAAACAACTAGGGTCCTGAGAGTGCATGCGGTCCTGAGAGTGCATGCGGTCCTGAGAGTGCACCCTCCTCCGAGGCTGCAGCTTCATACTATTGCTTCAGACAGAGCCACTATTACAAGCATACTACGTCATCGAGTGCCGCCGAAGTACTGTTCCAATCTCCAGCATACTTGGGTTGCGGTCGAATACTAAAAAAAAACAGCTCCTAAATTCTAACCCTATCGTCTATTCCTTGACCTCGGAGTGAAACGTCATGGGGTTAAGGGATAGTGGATAGGAGAATTAAAAAGGATTTAGGAGAAGAGACTGCGGTACTTTAGAGAATCCGACTGCACTTTCAATATCCGACGTGTTTATGATGCGCCAGCGGAGGTCATAAATGTGCGCCTGCTGCGGTGGGGAAACTATGGAAACTACAGTTTTCTATACAGCGGACTACAACAGGGATGTTTAATAAGAACGAGGGACTACTGTAAACTCTGCACCGTGCTCTGATGCTGTTGTTTTATGCTTTATGAACGGGGACAACAGAGAAACATATTCTTCATGACCAAAGTTGGAATTGAAATAAAAAAGGAAAGTGAAACTTATGCTCGTCACCCTCTCCCTCCGGTCCACATTAATACAAATGATCCCAATACGTATGATTGTATGAACTATGAAAAGATCTTAAAAGCAATACAAATGTATTTATTATAAACGTTAGTCCTTAACATCTATCACTGTGTATATCACCATTCAAACATCTTTTTAAAA